AACCTAAGGGTGATCTATCTCCACTAACACTTTGACCTCTGACATCGGACTGCTGCTGTATCGACAGCAGTGTAGTTGGTAATGGAAGAGGCAACAAGGATGGAAACAGAAAGCTGTTGGCAGACACTTGGAATATTCCAGAAACTGATGGTGATTCCTTGGACCAGAGAAATAGCAGACAGTGAGAAGATGCTGGATTCTGTTTCGTTTAGTTTGTGTGGGTGTGTGAAAACACATCCCATCAGATATTCCAGCAGATAAACTCAGCATGCTTCATCAAAAATACTTAAGTCTTTGACTACTTATTTGTAATGAATCAAAGTTATGTGTCCTAAATATTAGTGTGTAAATATCACCAAATCTCTTTCCATTGCCTGAACTATCACATTCACTAACTTACTGAGAACTGCACAGACTACTTCAGTAAAAGCTGCCCTGAAGGTTCTTTTCATTGCAAAGGGTTTTGAATGTTTTAATCAATGTTCCATTCAATTGTCTCTGATGTCACTTTCAGATGTTTGCAATGACAACTATAGGCCACTAGAGGGGGACCTTTACTAAATTTTAGTACCATTTGCTGGAATTGGAGGTAGTTACACTAACAATGCCCCAGGTTTGGATCTGAGACTTGTAAGACACTATAGTAGCTGTCATTATTAATAGAGCAAGGGACAAATGATTTGGATAAGTTACGCACCTCACAGCCAGAATTCACTGAGGACTTGAGTGCCAAGCATATGCTACTTGTATCGTCACAAATTACAATTCAGAATAATGATGCTTTATTTATATGGAATGTCATATTAATGTGTTAATTTGATCATTTGGCCTCCAAAGGGAGAACTACATTTATAAGAAATTAGTACTCTTATTCATTGCCTTCTATTACAATTGTAAGAAGTAAACACATGCTTCCATTAGGTTGGCTGAGAAATAAGAAAGCATATCAAGGTGCTGATGGCTCATGCCCTTAAGCTTAGCTACTCAAGAGGCTGAGATTTGAGAATTGGGTTTGATATATTTGGGGCAGGCAAATCCTTGAGACACTTATCTCTAGTTAACCATCAAAAAGCCAAAATGGAGGGGAGACTCCAGTGGTACAGTGGCAGCCGTGAGTGAAAAATAAGGCATACAAAATTCTGCCACGATCTTTATTTTAGGAGAGTACAGTTTATCCCCTACTAGATTTAAATAAAGGCTCCTGAAACTTGTTATCAAAAACCAGCGAGAATGAAATCATGTACATGAAAAAGATGGAGTATGACCAATAAATACCACTGTCATACATGTTTTCTGAATTCTGTAGTATAGGTAGGTCAGAGAAAACATTAATTCTACTGAATAACAAATTACATATGCGAGGTTACCATAGAATAGGGCTGTACCTTCATTTTGTTACTCGACATTTCTCTGTGATTGAGTTTCTGCATGTTATTTTCACTGTCTGGGTTTAAGCAAGCTCAAGAAGTAACCGGAGGGTTTTTGGTTTTGTTTTTCCACCACTTATCTTAGACAATCCTTGAAGTTCTTTTGTCAGCATTATCATTTGAGACTATTTAAAAAATTCTGCATGGAGATCTAAGTTATAAGACTTAGTACAATGGTTTCTAAAATACAAATTTGATTCACTCCTGGGTTAGAAAGTAGTTTCTATGATATGAATACCCAATTGAACTGATGAAGAAAATCCACATGTCAGGGGCACTGCATTGCCCTATCTACTTTTATGACTTCACCCGACCCTGGTTTGCATGTGTTCAAACGTTCAATGGTTTATTATTTTGTCTGGGGCGGGGCAAGGGTACTGGGATTCAGTGCTCCCTTAGCTTTTTCCGCTCAAGGTTGGTGCTCTGGCATTTGAATGATATCTCCACTTCTGGCTGTTCACTAGTTAAATGAAGGTAAGAGTCTCATAGACTCTTTCTTCTTCTTGGGCGGGTTCTAATTGGGATCCTCAGATCTCAGCCTCCTGGGTAGTTTAGTTCAAACTACAGGCATGAGCCACTGGCTCCTGGCTCAGCTGTTCAGTATTGATGTGCATATTATTATTTTCATGATTCTTAAAAATATCTCAACGTGGTTAGTCATTTTAGATATCTATATAATGCTATATTTGATGATATAAGGAGTTCCCCTCCACCACCAACTTTCAGCATCAACAATACCTAGAGGTCTCAAAATGAAAGCCGTAGATAAAGATTCATTTAAATAGATTCATTGCCAAATTGCTCTCCTGGAAGGATTGCTCTGGTTTTAGGGTCACAAAAATAATCTTCTTGCTCATAAAACTGGAAGGCCAGTCCAGACCGAAAGCTCAAAAGACAACTTCTCAACAATAGTGGGGCATGGTGTTTTGTGTCTGTCAGCTCACGGAGAGCAGGAAGTGTGTATTAGGTGCATTGTAGTCCAGGTCAGAGCCCAGGCAAAGAGTGAAATCTCATCCCCCCAAACAGGTGTATGAACAAGGGCGGGCGCAAGGGGCTCAGGGGTTCAGGTGGCACTGTGCCAGACTAACCAAGAGCAAAAGAGCACCACCAAAAACAAAGGGAAAATAATATGAATATACTTACTGCAGTTCTGATATTACAGTAGTTTTCTTAACGCATTTTGGAAACAAAATCATACTCTAACAGGTAAACATATGCTCATTCGATGTACTTTTGTTACCTTTGTTCATTTTTCTCAACTATTTGAGTATGCAAAACATTATTTTCCCTTGATTATATATTGCAACAGTTCCTAAACTTTTTCCTGAAATGGATTCTGGGTGTCATCCCACTGCTGATATTGATCTTGAAAATACTTTTGTCAGGAAACAGTTGAGAGTTTCAAAGGAAGCCACCCTAGGAAGGGACTATCATAGCTTTAAACACTTTATTGGGCCACTAAAACAAGTTTCTCCTCCCGAAAGCTCGTTTCAACTGCATCTCATGCAGCCTGGTGAATTTTCTGCTAGTCTACTCCTACCTCACAGTCAGATAGCAAAGCAATAGAGTAGGCCATGATCTTAAGTCTAACAGGCTAGCTGAGCCTTATTCCCATGCTGACCAATAGAGGGCTCCCAAGGACAAGGGTAGGGGCTGAACGTTTCTTAGGCCTGGATTTATGAGGCTCCATTTCCCTTGTCTCCAATTGTTCAAAGTGAGTCACGTTGCCCACCAAGATTCAGAGGGTTATAGTCTTATAACGTTCACCATTTAATTTCCACACCATAGCTATTTCAATATAGAATCTCCACACACACAATTAAACCGATAGCTCACCTGTCTACGTCACACAGACCTCATTTTTTGTCTGAGAAATTTCATGGTCTTTATTGAAGAGGAGGTATTTTGAGTGGATCGTGAAGAAGGAAGCTTCTGGACAAAGTTTAAAAACTGTATACAGAGGGCTGGCCCTCGGGGTGCACACCTGTAATTCCAGCTGCTGAGGAGGGCCTGGGCAAAAGTGTGAGATCTTATCTAAAAGCAAACTAAAGCAGGGCTTGGAGGCGTGGCTCAAATGCTAGAGAGTGATGGCCTAGCAAACAGGAGTTCCTGAGTTCAAACCTCATTACTACACAAAACAATTACACCCAGGGGAAAAAATGTGGGCATACCACAGAGATCTAGAGAGAATGCTAGGCTTTGAAATCGGCAGAAACCCAGCTTGGTTTGTGGGTTAGAGCATGGGTGGATGGTGGAGAAATATAGTAGAGGGTGAGGTTGGAGATGTCTTATATCTAGAGAGGTGTGCAGTGCAAAGTAGTGGCTCAGCTACCTGCTCCATTTTATTCAAGAATATGCAGTGCAAAGTAGTGGCTCAGCTACCTGCTCCATTTTATTCAAGAATATGCTTCTAATTTCTCAAGGCTATAAGAAGTTAGCATGTCCATTTTAGGGATGATACACCACACACACACACACACACACACACACACACACACACACACACACATTCTCCAGGACAGGAAGTCTGAACAAATACAATTTCCATGAATTGAAGGATTCTGGTATGGACTAGTGACCCTTGTGGAAGGAATTTCATTATCATAACATGGGCATGACAGCAGCAAGAGCCAGAATTTGGAGAGCAAGAAAGGCCATGATGTCCCAGATTCACGTGAGGGTCTGGAAGCTCAGGAAATGGCCATCAATCAGTCATCTCTGCAGATGGTCCCTAGCTTAGGCGGGCGCAGGAAGTGAGACATCGCGGAGACCTGTGTCTGATGACAGAGGAGGAAGAGGGAAGCCAGAGCAAGGACTAAGCTCCTTACCGACTTGGCACCTAGCGTACGATTGTAATTCAAGAGGAAATGATCTCTGAAGGACATTTGCAGCTCTGTGAGAATAACTGATGAGCTCAAGCCAGACATCAGCATGAGTATTCTTCCCTCTTTTCTTTCTTTCTTTCCTTTCTTTCTTTCTTTCTTTCTTTCTTTCTTTCTTTCTTTCTTTCTTTCTTTCTTTCTTTCTTTCTTTCTTTCTTTCCTTCTTTCTTTCTTTCTTTCCTTCTTTCTTCCTTCCTTCCTTCCTTCTTTCCTTTTTCTTTCAACTCCAGGACCTTGTGTTCTCCCTTAGATTTTTTTTTTAATTTTTTTTCAAGGATGGTGCTCTATCACTTGAGACACAACCCCACTTCCAACTTTTTGCTGGTTAATTGGAGATAAGCATTTCTCTAATCTGTCTAGTCTGGCTGGCTTCAAATTGTGATCCTCAGATCTCAGATTCTTGAGTAGCTAGACTTACAGGCATGAGCCACCAGCACCTGGCTGGTTCTTATTTCTTAAAAATGACAAAATAGCGCCAGCAACCTGGGATGCCACAGCAAATGAGGTTATGGTACCCGTCTCTGGCCAAGGGGAGACATCTTCAACTTGCCTTTGCTCCTGCCTACTGAGCACCATTGCTTCCTTCCCTAATTCTTCCTATGTGTCATCACTGGCTAGTTCATGCCCTGTCTCGTTGTTCATTGAATATCTATTGCAAAGTCGATTTAGTCTTCTGTTTCCTTTATTTCAGAGGACCTTATCATCTCCTTCACTGTATCCATGGCCATTGGGCTTGTCATGGGAGGATTAATTTGGGCGCTGTTCGTTTGCCTGTCCCGAAGAAGAGCCAGCGCCCCCATCTCACAGTGGAGTTCAAACAGGCGATCGCGGTCCTCCTACAGCCACGGCCTCAACAGGACTGGCTTTTACCGCCACAGTGGCTGTGAACGCAGAAGCAATCTCAGCCTGGCCAGCCTCACTTTCCAGAGACAAGCGTCTCTGGAGCTGGCCAATTCCTTCCCGAGAAAGTCAAGCTTCAGAGCCTCCACCTTCCACCCATTTCTGCAGTGTCCCCCACTTCCTGTGGAAACGGAGAGCCAGCTGATGACCCTGCCTGCAGCCTCTGCCTCCACCTCCAGCCCCACAGCCCACAGCCCCAGCCGGCCTGACTTCCGCTGGTCCAGCCACAGTCTCAGACTTGGCCTGTCTGCTCCACCTCCACCCGCCTATGAGTCCATCATCAAGGCCTTTCCAGACTCCTGAGGGGGTGGGTAGATAGATTTCTGTCATGCTTTCTTTGTTATTGAAAGGAAATCATCAATAGACTGAATATGCCTGTGACAACTGGGCATACAGTGTAAGACACATTTCCTTTGAACACAGTTTTCTCTCCTCTCCCCACCATGAGTAATTCTCACACCAAAGCATCATTTTCTCAAACTGTTTTGTTATGAGTGTTCCTTCCATGTGACCCTTACTGAAGATGTGATCGTTATCTATGGATCAGTTGTGATATGTGTGTCTTCGATGAAAATAGAAGCTTAGATATTAGTGGTTTACAATCCTTGTTCCCATTCCAATATGGTCATAAAGAACAAAAGTCACTTTGACACTTTAAAAAAGTATCTAAGGAATGTCCATTTCACTTTCTTTAGGATTACAAGTGACTCATATTGGAATTTTACAATCTTGGATTTTTTTTTTTTTTGTCAGTCATGGGGCTTGAACTCTGGGCCTGGGCACTGTCCCTCAGCTCTTCAGCTAAAGGTGAGTGCTCTACCACTTGAGCCACAGCACCACTTCTGGTTTTCTGGTGGTTTATTGGAGATAAAAGTCTCATGGACTTTCGTGTCCTGGCTGGCTTTGAACCTCAATCCTCAGATCTCAGCCTCCTGGGTAGCTAGGATTACAGGCATGAGTTTTGGATTTTTAAAAATAGATTTCTATGTGCACAAAATGACAGAACCTAGAAAGTTCTTAAGTCCCTCAGTTCCACTCAGTATACAAAGAGTGTGAGTCCAGCAAAGAAAGTCAAACTTCCAGTGATGTCATAGGATGGCCAGGTGACATCATAGGGCGGTTTGATCACATCACAGGATGCCTTGGTGACATCCTATAATGCCCTGTTGGCATCAGGGGGTATCTTAGTGATGTCATAGGATATCGTGGTGATGTCATAGGATGGTTCCGTTTTGACACATACTTTGCTTTTCCAGATGGACTCGTTTTGTACTTTTCCCAAAATACCCGCATTATGGATTTAATAACTCTGGGCTTAACGTTATTGTTGTGGCAAATTTGTGTGCTCCCAAAACAAATTTTGAATTTAGCATCAAGCTTAAGCGTTCTTTCAGGGGCCGTTTTCTCCTGCAAACCTGGGTCTGGACTGGGCAGACTCTATCACCGTGAAGAAGTCTTCTCCTTGGAGCCAACGTTAGTCCAAGCATAGAAGCAGATGTTAGTCAGCAAGCATAGTCCTTGTTTGCCTTTCTGTACATTTCAATCGCAGCTTATCTGAAGACTCTCTGAAGAATGCCTCTGGTCATGGGCACAGACACAGATAGACACAGCAGCCACACCCTAAGGCGGGCCAGCGGGCATGAGTGGCAGGGCTGAGAAGCTGCCCCTTCTCTGTGAGACAGACACTCCCTGGAAATCCTTCTGAAAGCTTGTGTTCACTCTGAACACAAACAGTTAGCCTATGCTGTTATCCCGGCGTTCCGCAGAGCATGAGATTTTCAGTGAACTCACTTTTGTGTTTACAACACAGTGGTCACAGCTCATGATATCTCCACACAGCTAAGAATGTACAATTTTTACACAGGAGACATACCATCTGGTGTTTTCTTTGTTATTTTTATCCATTGCTCCTCAAGAGGAATTATTCTTCATAATGTCTTAGGAAGATACTCACTAATTAAATCTACCAAGTAAGGAAGGAAAAAAGGAAGTAAGGTGGACTGGGAATGTGGCTCAGTGGTAGAGTGCTTGCCTCACATGCATGAAGCCCTGGGTTTGATTCCTCAGTACCACATAAACAGAAAAAGCCAGAAGTGGTGCTGTGACTCAAATGGTAGAGTGCTAGCCTTGAGTAAAAAGCAGCTCAGGGACAATGCCTAGACCCTGAGTTCAAGCCCAGGACTGGCAAAAAAAAAGGAAGTAGGGTAAGAAAGAAGGACAGAGAAAAGATGAACACAAGCAAACCAATTTAAAAAATAATAGCTAATGAAATAAGCAATTTAAATGTTGGGTTTTCCTAAAGGCATTTACAAGTTGTAATATAACCAGGTAAAATTTCAAGACAGCTTTAACTCAGTCAGAGGGCTCATTTTAACCTGCCTGGCATTCTTCACATTTTGTGTGAGAAGTAAGAAAATCATACGCTGGGCCCTGGTGGCTCACGCCTGTAATCCTAGCTATTCAGGAGGCCGAGATCTGAGGATCGGGGTTTAAAGCCAGCCCAGGCAAGAAAGGCTGTGAGACTCTTACCTCTAATTAGCCACTTAATAACTCGAAGTGGAGCTGTGGCTCAAAGTGGTAAGTGCTAACCTTGGGCAATAAAGCTTAGGGACTACACTTAGATCCCTAAGTTCAAGTCCAACCACTGACAAAAGAAAGAAAGTAGGCAAATCATTTGTTTTGCCTTCCATTTTTGTATTGGGTAAAATTCTTGTAATTGTAGAGCTGTGTTCCAGTTTTCAAAGGAAGGAAGTGAGAGCAGAATTCCTCTAGTGCATTTCAGCGACGGGCAGCCTGGCTGCTGCCCAAGCCTAGGTAGAAAATAATGAAAACAACGACCTTGTACATAGTGTGCTGTGGGCGAAATGTGAAACCAAGGCCCAAACTGGAGACTTTTTAAGGTGTCTTTGTTTCATTTAAAACGTGTTGTTCGTATCAAATAAAATTAAAGTGTTATCAGCTTGGGTCTACGGTGTAGTTATTGAGTAATTAAAGCACTTCCAAAAAAATGAAAGCAAGAAAAAAATTGTTCTGTGTGGTCATAATTAAATTAAGGATTTTGAAATAGGGAGATGGTCCTGGATGATATGTGTGTGTGTGTGTGTGTGTGCACATTCATATGAGTGGTTTCCCAGATATTCAGGGCAAGGGACCAAGCATTTAGAAAGGAGCTAGCAGTTTAAGCACTCCACAAGGAAGAAGGCAATGTATCAACCTGAGGGAAGAAAGAGTCAAGGTGTGTATGTTCTAGGGCTCTATGTGGAGGAAGGTCCAGACCTGGAAATACAGGAAATAACCTTATAAGAACGCCAGTGATGTAATCCTAGCTTCTCAGGAGGCTGAGATCTTAGGATCATGCTTCAGAGCTAGCCCAGGCAGAAAAGTTTGTGAGAGTCTTATCTCCAATAAACCACCAGAAAACCAGAGGTAGCTTTGTGGCTCAAGTGGTAGAGTGCTAGCCTTGAGCTGAAGAGCTGAAGGACGGCGCCCAGGCCCAGAGTTCAAGCCCCACAACCAACCACAAAACAACAACAACAACAAAAAGATAGCCTTTGACAGTATTGTCATTTTCCTGATGTTAATCCTCTCAATCCAGGAGCATGGGAGGTTTTCCACTTCCTTAGTTCTGCTTTAATTTCCTTTTTCAGTTTTTTAAAGTTTTCATCACAGAGGTCCTTCACTTCTTTGGTTAATTCCTAGGTATTTTATTTTTTGTGGGGCAATTACAAAAGGAGTTGCTTTTCTGATTTCAGTCGCGCTCTTCTCATTACTAGAATATAGGAAAGCCAATGATTTTTGAGGGTTAATTTTATACCCTGCTACTTTACAACTTTTGGGGGGGAGGAGGTGGGAGGTGGGGTAGGAAGGGATAGTGGGAGAACCACAAAGGAGGGGGTAAGAATGCACTCATTACCTCACTCATGTGACTAATCCCTCTGTACGGCACCTTACAATAAAATAAAACTATAAAAAAAGAAAGCCAGCGATGTAGAGAAGCGGTGTGGAGATTGAAGGCCAGAATGGTACAGCTAAGAGCCAGGGAATGCCCACAATCGCAGACCGGGGAAGGCAAGGACAGAATGCTTCTGGTAGCATCTCAGGGTGAGCTCTAGGGGAGCCATTAGTGTCTTTACTGATCCTTCTTGTGTGTGTGTGTGTGTGTGTGAGAGAGAGAGAGAGAGAGAGAGAGAGAGAGACAGACAGACAGACAGACAGACAGAGACAGAGACAGAGAGACAGAGAGCATGTGTGTGTGTGAGAGACAGACAGACAGACAGACAGACAGACAGAGACAGAGACAGAGAGACAGAGAGACAGAGAGCATGTGTGTGTGTGGGTGTTTAAGTATCCTATAAACACTTGGTCAGTCTCTCTTTAGTCCACATGGTATCTCTGCACTAGGAAACCATAAAATAAACAATTACAATTGATTTTTTTTCTAACAAATGCCTTGGGAAAAGTGAGTTTCACAGAGTAAGCTCTGAAAGGAATTCTATGAAGACTAGCCTTACGAAGGGTTTTCAAACTGCTGCTGTCTGGGGTGTGATCTTCTTGAGACTTTCTGGCCCATTTTAACTTCTGTCTTGGTTGTTAGGTAGCTGGGTTTATTTTTCTTTTTTAAACAGATTTGTGATGTGAAGCATGCTAATTTTACATTATTTTCTTAGCATAAATTAACCACACAAAGGATTTTCATTGTAATATTTCCATGCATGCAGAAGCTGACAGCTTTTTCAAAGCTACTCTGTAGCTGGCTGGGGGTGGGGCTGAAGATAGAAGGCTAAAGTTCATCAAGCTCACCGGCACTTCTCTGGGGTAACTGCCTCTTGTGTTGTGCAAAGTTTTAATTTCCACAGGACTGGAAAAGTGAAGGTGCATCAGCAGCACATCCACTGGCTCTTTTATTGGTTTGAATTCAAGGCCTTGAGTTTGCTAAATCAAGTGTTCTACCACTTGAGCCAAATCTCAGTCTGCCACTCTTTCTTTTTTTTCTTTCTTCCTTCCTTCCTTCCTTCTTTCCCTTCTTTCTGTGGATTGTGGGGTTTGAACTCTGGGCCTGGGCGCTGCCCCTCAGCTGTTCAGCTCAAGGCTAGCGCTCTACCACTTGAGCCACAACACCAATTCTGGCCTTTTCTGTTTATGTGGTGCTGAGGAATCAAACCCAGGGCCTCATGCATGTGAGGCAAGCACTCTACCACTGAGCCACCTTCCCAGCCCCAAGGGAATCCTTCTTTCGAGGAGACACTCAGTCACGTTTTCCACATGTCTGAACATTTGTAATTATTATTTTAAGTAGTTATAAAAGGAGGTGTCATTTCACCAAGTGGTTTACGAATAAAACTCATCTTGATCGATGCTATCCCTTTCATCATTCGCCCTCCTGTCTCCCAGCAACACCCCTTCCCCCACTCTTCTTAATTTTGTAGACTATACAGTGGATTCTTGAATGCATTCTCCCCTCTTCTCTTCTTTCATCTACCACTTTCCCCTTGACTCTTCCTCATCCCTTTTAAGTGCCTGCTTCCTGGTGTTTACTTGAATCTACTGAACTTCAGTTCATACATTTGTATACACTTGCATGCCACCCAAGTGCACTAAGTAAGACCCAGAGAGCAAAGGATACATGCTTTCTCTGATATGTGGATGCTAGGCTTAGCTTACAACTTTGTAAGTCAATATGTTGGGTGGTATGTAAGTGCTTTGACATTTTTTTAGAAGAACATTTTCATTCTATTGAGTTAATTCTACCCTAAGGTTTTTGCATAAGTGGTGTGAGTCTGGCCTTTGACGTTATCTTCCTGAATGATCTTTGATTGCCCACTCAGGCATATTGTAGACACACCGTCTCATCGAATCTTGTGCTATCTTGGCCAAATCAAATCTGTAAAGTTCACTTGCAATTTAATGTATTGCTTTTGAGTCATCTTGACATTTTGACTTCATAAGTGTAAACTGAAAACTGCATTTACTGGACATTTGTTTTTTTAAGAAAATAAAACAACATATGCCAGATCTGCAATCCACGGATGCTTAATTTGATTAGGCAAGGTTATGAGGTAATGCTGCTGAGAGACGATTGTACAAAGGAAATTTATCTCTAATATTCTTGTGGCACATAAAAGACTGAGGCTATGTCTATTGCGAGGAGAAGGCCTCAGGGAGACATGCAAGCAATTGGAGTGGAGTGCAGAATTTTAAGAGGCAGCCAAGAGAGACGTGTCGAGTGTGAATGGGGCGTAGGGAACACTGTAAAAGAACTTGAGGAAAAGCTTGCCTTTATTTTAAGGTTCTAAACACTGTATGTCATGGCTTGGGTTGCTGAGCCTATATTAAGAAATCAGTGGGCCCAGTGTGGTAGCACATAACTGAAATCCCTGTTCGGAGAGGTTGGACCGGAAGCTTGCAAATTTGAGGCCAGCCTGAGCTATATAATGAAAATCTACCTCAGAAAAAAATGGCAATGCATACTGGCAGGAGTTAGAGTTAATACTCTCTGAATATGTCATAGTAGATGCTGCCTGATTTTGTGCTAATACTGACAGGAGAATGTTCTCTAGATCATGCTTCATGCTAGTGAATTTTGGAGTCTATTGTGAACTGCTGTAACCAAATGGAGCCAGTCCCATTATTTTCTTTATATTATCATTTGATTCCACCCATGCGTGTTGATACTTAGTTGTAACCAAAATAACTACATAGAGGTAGAGAATAGTCTTATTTTGAGTATTCTTTCATCCTAAGGTTAAGGAGTTTTGGCAAATGCTAGACTAGGAACATAATTCAGTGGTAGAGTGCTTATAAATGGTGGAAGGCCTTAGGTTTGATCCCCAGGATCATAAAAAGAAGGTGAGAGGAGGAGGAAGACAAATGGGAGAATGGCGGGGGGAGGAGGAAAAGGAAAGAGGCAGAGGAAAACTAGTTTTAGCAATTAACAGTCTATAACCGTCAACAAATCGCATGAATTGCTAAAATAATTTTCATCACATTTTCTGTCTTATTCTAAATTTTCTAATATCTCATAAGACATTAAAAGAACAAATCTTCAAATATTTATGGCTTACTTGGAAAAAATTGGATGCAAAGGAAAATGGAATTGCTAAAATCATTTCTCTCTTCTTTTTCCTCCTTGATTCTACCTTTTATTTTTGTATTGTTATACCATGTTTATTTTTTTAAGACTTCTAGACATGGTCATACAGGGAAGGAAGGGGGATCAATGAAATGGTGGGACAAAGGACAAAGAGAAACCTATGCAACCGCAATACTCACAAGACAACATGTTGGAAATGATCTGTATAACTTGGGGGCAGGGATTGGGGAGGTAG